CCGCCACGCGAAAGCGGATCCGCTTTCCGCTTCACGGCTCTGGCTGCGCTAGATCAAACCACGTGATCTAACCAGCCGGCCGCAGATTCAACATGGCGGCAAAGGCCTCGGTGGTGGCTCGCATCGGCTCAAATCGCAAACTACCCGTGCGGCACGACGGAGCTCGACGGCCTCAACGAGAACGCGTTCATCGGGAGCCTGTTTTGAATTACGATCGCCCAGAACTCTGAAAGCAGACGGTGCAGCAGCAGCGACTCGGCATGACCCAACGTGTCTCGCTTTTGTGTATAGCCAGTAGAGTCCGCTGCCGCTATTGCGTTCGTTCGTGACGTTTCTGCTGGCGTATCTCCCGAAAAAAAGTGCCGCCATATCCACGAAGTGAATGATGATGAGTAGGCGAAGCTCCGGAGGTAAACCTGGTAAACCATGAATCCTCTGTACATTTTGCACACTTGATTTTATTACATCGCTCCCCCTAGCGTACGTCCCCGCACTAAATCGAACGATTGCCTTCAACCAATGACACGCGCCGTATGTGACATCATTCCTATTTTATAACGTCTCGCATCTTTCATCAACTACAAGTACCGCCATCTAGTTTATAACATCTTGCATCTTTTCATCATCAGCTACAAGTACCGCCATCTAGTGAACACTACAAGAACTAAACGAGAGGTAGCTACATACAGGAGACGGTACCGCCATCTAGTGAACACTGCAAGAACGAAACTAGAGGTGTCTACATACAGGGGACACACTGCACACCCCTTAAGGAGCTTCGCCCCTAAAAACGTTTCAAAGGTGCGAGCTGGTTCTTTTCACTGCGCTTTATGAATAACTACAATTCGGTACGAACTTTAGTTCTCAGAAAGCAGGCAAAAGCGTACTAAATTGTCGAGGTAGCGACGGCAGCGGCGGCGGGATGGGGCAGAACAAATTAAGAACGAATGTGAACGCTCCGTCGTTTTAGTTTTCACTTCACTTGCCAAGTGTGAACGCGCCTTCAATGTGTCCGAGAGACAAACGTCCTGATGTGTTAGATAACGTGGGCGCACGCGGAAATCAGTGAGACAGGGTGCTATACAGGCTAAATCGTGTCAGTGTGTGTGCACCTTGTACAAGACAGCCTCCAGTGTGCTGCACGCTTCTTGCTCAGGTTGGTTATATAGAGTAGTCTGTATAAACCCCACCGGAGTGATTTACGAGCTGGCGCGTTCCACTGAAAGCTTGCGCGGAGCGGACTGGGTTGTGGCCGTTGCAACACGCTTATTGTTCGTACAACCACAACCGAGCGAGTGTATGTATAAACGAAGCGATATTCTAAACGACCGCAAGCCGCTAGCGATTCGTAGTCCAAACATTTGGCGTGCGTATTATGGACATCCCTTTTTGTTCTATGCACCACGCACGCTTGCAGTCGGAGCGAACTTTCTCCTCTTGGCGCGCGCTCAGCCTTTAAGTTATCCGTACTATACACACACGTGCAGGTTACTCCTTGTCAAAACGGTGCAGCGCTGTGCAAGCTTGCGTCGGGGGGCGATTCGACAAGGAAGGCGAACTTGATGGTGCGCGCTATTTCCGCCGCAGATGGCCCTTTCGTGCACGATAGCTGACAAAATGGTGTAGTGCTGTTCAAAAGGAAGTGTCGTGGCGATTCAGTGAGGAAGGGGCACTTTGTAGAGCGTGGTAGTTCCGCAGCGCATGACACTTTCGTGTGCCGTGTATGCCGACAAAACGGTGCAGCGTTTCAATATGAAGCATTGGCTCGATTGCGTAGACAAAAAATGACTCGCTTGTGCACGGTATTACCGCGGCAGACGACGTGGCGCCGCGTCACCCTCTGCTGTTTAGGAGTGGAGTGGTCTGCTGTTTTTGAACGCAGCCGGGAGATGGCGGGCTCGCACTTAGAACGCAATTTCACGAACAGAGAGTGCTTTAGGTATAATGCTTTTAAAACATCGTCTGCTGTAGTGCTGCCTGAAAGGCTGTTCTTGTCTGGCGCGAGGGAATGCTTTAAAACGGCTAGGTGCTCTAAACTTTACCTTGAAACAAATTTGGGAAAGAAATTGGTTACGACGTAGCTTAGCATATAATTCACGTTACGTTAAGGAAACATATGTAATTTCAACTACGGTGAAAGATAGCATGCAACCACTGCTACCGAAGCTGTGTACATATTAACCGCCTTAGCATGCATGAAGTTGTATTCTGTGTCGCGTTGTTCCTTGCTAGGTAATGCGCCTATGACTGGCCGCATTACACCAGTGTAAGGTGGTGTAACGCTTCATAACACTCGCCATTAGCTGGGCAGGATCAGGTGGTTGGAACACTATTCCCGTGACTGCTGTCTGACAACTCCTCCCTTCACTCCCAGTGCGGCTTTGGGAGGCCAATCCCGTAACGATGCTCGTACAAGACGTTGATAAACAATCATTATCTTGTGTGTACTGCATCGATTCAGGTGCAAAATGTTGCCCGTGTGGCTCTGTTGGTGGGAACGTCTGCGTCACAAAGCCTGCGGATGCACCTGACTGACGCATTGTAAAAAGCAGGGACAGGATAGTGAGATTTACGTATTTTTTGCATGCACAAGACATTTGGGAGACGAGATATTTAATAAATATAACCAAATGATGGGCGAATGTTTCTGTCGCATGAATGTTTCGGCTAGATGAACACTTGTGTGTTGTAGTTCTCAAGGTTTGGGCCTTGAGTGCCCTTAGGCATGTTCGTTCCCTGTTGTCGCTGTGTCTGTCCATAAGAATACTTTTAGAAGCTTCTAACATTGAGCGAATAACGTAAGTTACTCTATGCGCACAAAACAATGACGTCGGTTTGTTGCAAACCTTGCCTTGAGATCCCAGCCTCCGCGGCATCGAATACTAACCCCTCATTGTTTCTATTACATTCCAATCACCTTCAATATAGTGCCTGTAGAGAAACAATTAGAACAGCATTGAATCGTTTGCCCAAACTCATGTTTCTGAGCAACAAATTGTCGTTGAAATTATGCAGGTTGTCCTACATCGGGGGGTCTTTCCAGCCAGTGCCACAGAATTCAGCCTCCGCGCCATTCGGTAAGAGACCGCACTTTCGCGTTTCTAATGCCGTTAAATTGCCTTTCGGTAGAGTGTTTTTCGAAGCTATACAACCTTCGGATGCAACGGTCGTAGGTTCGAAATCTCCTCCCGGCAAGCTTTTTTGTGCAGCTTAGTTGACCCCAGTTTACGTCATAATTACCATACTACTGTTAAAACGTTCAAGCAAAGTCCCATGTACTTTCGTTAGCTTCATTTGTCTGTTGGGCTGATTGGATTGTGTCTCACAAAGATACGAGCACTCGATCCCCCCTGCTTCGTTATTACTACTACTACTACTACTACTACTACTACTACTACTACTACTACTACTACTACTACTACTACTACTACTACTACTACTAGTCCCGCTGCGGTGGTCTAGTGGCCAAGGTACTCGGTTGCTGACCCGCAGGCCGCGGGATCGAATCCCGGATGCGGCGGCTGCATTTCCGATATAGGCGGAAATGTTGTAGGCCCGTGTGCTCAGATTTGGGCGCACGTTAAAGAACACCAGGTGGTCAAAGTTTCCGGAGCCCTCCAATACGGCGTCTCTCATAATCATATGGTGGTTTTGGGACGTTAAACACCAGCTATCAATCAATCACTACTACGACAAGGGTTAGGCTCACGTAACTCAGCTGTAACATCTCCGTAGCTCTTGGCACGAACATCCGGGTGCACAAGCGCGTCACCGGAAGCGACTAGCGACCGCTAATGCACGCAACTTCCGGCGCGCGCCCGCTGCCGCGAGCGCAACATGTGAGCGTTACCGCACTCGAGGAACGTGTTTGTTTTCTTTCTGTAGGGTGCAGCAACTGCCGAGGAAGACGGGGCTCGTGGGGCGAAGGGCAAACGTTTTTTTTTTTTTTTGTTTTGCCCGGGCCAGAAACGGCAACCGCTAGCAGGCTAGCTGCGCTGCCGTGTTGCGCAAAAGGCGTAGCGCGTGCGTTATTTTCCGAGCACTTCAAACGCTTGGCGGCGGTTGCACCCCTTTTTCTGACCGCATCGCTACTTGCGGGGCCATTTGTGCGCCGCTTCGGTCGACGTGACCGCATTCGCGCGCCTATAGCTCCGCCGTGGTGGTCTAGTGGCTAAGGTACTCGGCTGCTGACCCGCAGGTCGAGGGATCAAATCCCGGCTGTGGCGGCTGCATTTCCGATGGAGGCGGAAATGTTGTAGGCCCGTGTACTCAGATTTGGGTGCACGTTAAAGAAGCCCAGGAGGTCAAAATTTCCGGAGCCCTCCACTACGGCGTCTCTCATAATTATATAGTGGTTTTGGGACGTTAAACCCCACAAATCAATCAATCAATCGCGCGCCTATAACCAGCACCTCGACGCTTCCATGAAGGGTGACGATGATCCAATTGCTCGGTCTTACCCGCCGCGGTGCCCTAGAACAGCGGTTCTTATCCGCCCACGAATGTTCTGGAGAACGCTTGTGGACAGCCGAAAGTGACGAGCAACCCCTTCCCGCAAAAAAAAAAAAAAAAATACGGGAAGCTGGGTGGTCATAAGTTAACCCCACATGCAGTGCGAAAATAAGTGCCTTTTTAGTTCTTCCCGGCATATAAAGGTCATACTTAAGTGTAATCGGCTGTTCAACCTCGACAGCTTGTCGAAAAGTCGTGCGGTCTGCAGAACACATTCAACCTGTTTCTAGCTGTGTTTTCTCTTCAAGTATGTGAGCGCAGAAAAAAGTGTGCTCACGTGCTTGTGTCGGCCAAAATCGCAACTAAAGCCTGATGAACACCTCATGGAGAAGGGGAAACAAAGTTCCGCTCCGCTGCAGTGCAGACATGTTATGCGGTGAAACATATATTTGAAAAAAAAAGAAAGAAGAAAGATCGAAAGAGGTTCTTTTTACGAAGCAAGTCGTGCTTCCTGAAGAGGAGGTCTTCTTAATTCATGAGCACATGTTTCACGGGCTCCTGAAAATGGCTTCGCGCATCCCATTTGAGAACCGTTGCTCAACAGGTGATGGGGCTCGTCTGGTGACCCCGGAGTCGTGGGATCCAAACCCGGCTGCCTCGTCACAGTTGTCTCTACCAGGGCCGTAGCCAGGAATGTCTTTCAGAGTGGGTGTTGGAGGGGACACCTGTCGAAGGCAGCGAAACCTTTATATATTTATTTTCAGTAAAGCAACCCCCTTTCATCTGGATATCGCGGGGGGGGGGGGGGGACATCGAGGGTAAGGCAAATGCGTGAGGGGTATCCACAGAAAATCGAGTCGGCAGATGATGCGAAGAAATTCGAAAGTATATAACGCAGTCGCAGAAAGCACATGACCGGATCTATTGGCGCCACATGGTGAGAGACCGTCGCCCTTCAGTGGTCCTATTCAGACTGATGATGATGGTGGGCTTCACGGGGGTTCGATCCTTGACCTACTCTGCTCTCCTCTCGCCCCTCAAGGTTGCCAGTCGTTTTTTTTTCTTTCCATGGCTGGCTGCGTCGTCCTCAATTTACTTTGCCCAGTCCGGGCAAATGACCGAGTGATCACGTCATGTTACGTAGTCGAGCGCACATAAAGTTCCATGGTCACATGACCACGTGTCGACGTCATGTCTCGGTGTCACGTGACACGGCTGGTGTGAAATTCATCGGTTCCTTATGCATTTGCCTATAAAATTACTGAAGAAAAAAGCCATTTTTTACTTGTATATTTATTCGTTTCCAACATCCAACATTTCATGGTCTAAAGACGAAGCAAGGGGCATAACAAAAGTAATTAACAAGCTAACGTCAATAAAAAAAGAATTCAAGCAAGTAGGCTGTAGACCAGATCATGCCAAATACATAAATGGCAGTAAGATAATAAAAATCGCAACTAGAGAATGTGGATCATACGCGATACACAGTATTATTCTCAATAGACAGCATTGATTCCCTGCTCTCGAAGGCTTTTCGCACCCAGCGTGGTCCTTGTATGGCATCCGAGATCGAAACACTTTTCAGCAAGTGACAATGACACGTGATGGCGTCGTGATATCACTGATCGTGATGTGACGTCATACTGACGCCATCATAGCGTCGCAATGACGGAAATTTGGCGACCTGTAACGTCACCAGGACTTCATGCGGTGACGTAACACCGCATAACTTCTGGTATAACTCGTGCTGACGCTAACGGTCGATTTTTGCGTTGTGTGAGGCATCTAATGTCTTTCGCCTTAGTGACATGGACGTCGGTATAGTCAGCAAGCCCAGAGACGTAAGGTCGCGCGCAAAACGAAGGTCATCGAGCGAGCGTCGACCATGGAGGAAAAAAAAAATGGCAGCATATCCACGGAGTGAATGATGGAGAGTGGGGCGAAGCATTCGTCCGTTCATTCTTTCTTGCTTCCGTCCGTCCATGCGTCCGTCTGTGTGACCGTCCATGCGTCCGTCTGTGTGACCGTCCATGCGTCCATCCGCCCGCCCGTGCGTGCGTGCGTCTCTTCTTGCGTCCGTCCCGGCGTTCGTCCATGCATTCGTCCCTGCGTCCGTTCATGCGTCCATCCATGCATCTGTCATTGTGTCCGTTCGTCCATCTATTCAACACTCCAAGTACCACCATCTCGCACCCTTTCATCATATATTCCCCATATAGAAGCACCGCCATCTAGCGGACATTCCAAGGAATAAACGAGAGGTGACACACGCACACTTTCTTACGGCTTGCGCTTCGTGTCTACTTCCCACCTTTAACCACCTCGAGTTCATGGTATATAGTTCACTGTATTCATAGCACTGCGGTCCAATGCTCGCTAAACCTTTCTAAAACAATGGAGGTTACGCCCAGCGAGTATAACGTAGCAACCTTTTCCTGTCAGGTCGCGCTCAATGTACATGCCAATGTCTGCTAATGGGGATCGCAGCGTGCGCGTTATTTAAAAGCCGAATGCTCCTGTCTCTCATACCCCATTAGCAGCCATTGGCATGTACATTGAGCACTATTTTTTATTGTTCAACAACGCATCGAAGAAATCTCTCACTGGCACCACCTTAGTGGTCAAAATGTTACGCTTGTTACATACTACAACGGCTACGAGGGACGAACGGGTGCCGCTATAAGGAGCTGCGCCCCTAAAAGGTACGAGCGTGACGTCATAGGGCCAGTTTTGGCTTGACAAGCAGTTTTGAAGCAGCATTGTCGACCCAACACGTGACCTTTCGCGCAAGATCGCGCCAGCAACGATACTTGCCGATGTTTCGGAGTACGGCGCCCTGTGTGGCCTTTAATCGAAACGACCTGGTTCAGCGCAGACCGGCCGGCTCACGTAGGTGGTTCGAAGACGGAGCACCACCGCGAGTATACTAAAACTTACCCTACGCTCAGATGTTTTGATCAACTGTTGGACTGACACGGTGAGCTTCACTTGGGTGACGTAACTCTCCCTCGTTTCTTTTCGTTCATCCGTGGCGTCGACGTGCCAAACGTCCCGGGGACTATACATTTTCACTATACTTTTCTGTCTCCCATTTCTCCTTCCCCAGTGCAGGGTAGCAAGCCAGACACTTGTTTTCTGGTTGACATCCCTGCCTTTCTTCGTATACCATCTCTATCTCTCTCTCTTTCTAGGGACCTGGCGGCACGTTTTGGAACTGTGAAAATC